TCCACCCGGCGGGAGAAGGAGGAGGAGGAGGAGGTGGTGGCGGCGGCGGCTCGCGTTGTTTTCTGAGCCTGCGAGCCTAGAGCCTAGAGCTCAGAAAACAATGCGAGCCACCACCACACCACCACCTCCTCCTCCTCCCGAGTGGTCTGAAAGCAGCTGGGGCTGAGGAAACGAAGCCAAGCGGAGCTGAAGCCACCTCAGCTCGCGTTGTTTTCTGAGCCCGCGAGCCTAGAGCCAGGGCGCTTTCATTGCACGGCGGAGCTTCTTGTCTCGGGAAACACCGGGCGTCGTTGCTGCCCCCTGAGGGGAGGGCGAATCTGGGCTGCGCGATTAGGGGACTTCGTGGCTTTGGGTGGGAGCGAGGACGGATGGAGTCCGTGAAGTGGGGCTTGCCTGCCCTTGCTGGCTGCCTCTGCTTCCTTAGGGGCGGGGAAGGGGGCTCATCTGGACCAAGGGTGAGTCTCCCCCTCAGTTTCCCCAGAAGGATCTTACGTTGCTTTTGCCTTCTCCCTATGTCTTCCCTCTGTTAAAATCCCCACACACACACACACTTATTTTTGGGAGGATAGATTTCGTGTCTGAGCATTCTCACATTGATGGTGGGTCTTTTCCCCACCCCTAAAAACAGTTAAAAAAAGAAAAAACAATATATCCTCATGCAAGAACTTTTCTGCTTCCGATTACCCCCATACTTACAAGTTGCAAAGGAAACACGGAAGCAGGGAAGCGGCTGCCCAGCTCCAGAGCTCCACACCATTTTTTTTAGAGGGGAATCTGACTCGAGTATAAGCCGAGGGGGGTTTTTTCAGCACAAAAAAAGGGGTGAAAAACTCGGCTTATACTCGAGTATATACGGTAACTAGAACAAAGTCACCCAGATGGCTTTATGTCTTAAGTGAGACTATAACTCATGGTTTCTAGCTTGGTGCCTTAATCACTATACCAAACTGGCTCTCATCTTAGTTTTAAAGGTATTTAATAAATAAAATAATCACAACTGTATATATACTGCAAGTTGAAAGTTCAATGCTTTTCTGTCATTCTTTTTATTCCATCTGCTCCTGGTTAGATAAGCAATCTTTCCTCAATGGTTGCATTTGGTCAGGGCTAATCTGCTAAGAGCTGAAGATGGAATGTGTATGAAGCAAAATATGTGTCTTATTTTGAAAGTTAAAGAAACAAATTGCAATCTGGAAATTCTATGAAATTCTTCTGGATCAGCTGCAGTTTGGACAAAATAAAAGCTTGGAACAATTTTGGTGTTTCTAGCTTCAAAACAAAAACCTGAATATTCCAAAAATATTTAATGGTGAGTTGGCAATGGTACATTACACATTTCCTTCAGAAAGGATACATGAAGCTAATATTGTTTGTTTTATGCAATTTGCTCCTTGATGGTCTCAAAAATTCTCACTGTGACATAATCCACTAGCCCACTGCCTTCCTTTCTGTCCCTCACAGCAGAGCTGTTAATATGGTGTCCTTGAATGCATCTACTTCCTAATCTTTTTTCCTGTGTCTTTCTTCCTCTGCTTCCCTTCAACCACTGCAACCTGTGGCTATGTGATGAAGAGAGTCCATACTATACAAAAGCAATGTGAATGGTTGGAACCTCCCCAACCTCATACTTCTCTCCTTTCCTTCGTATCAGTGGCATCAAAAGCATTAGATTCTTCTAGCTCTTACCCATTGTTTCAATGCATATCCAGACCAAGCATGGTTGCTTCGATTTATGCACAAACCACATGAAACCAGTTGTTCCACTAATGAAAGTGGTCATGCACAAACTGCTTTGAATCTCATTAACTGAAAGATAAGTTGAAACAAGCAGAGGATTCAGACAGAGTCAACAGTGAGTGGTGCACTGTTTTCTCTCAATCATCCCCCAACCTTTCCCCCCCCACAAAAGATATACTGCAAAAGAAAGGTGAGTTTCCTCTTTTTTTTCTTTCTCAGCTCTTAATACTTTCCTCTCAAATGGCATTCAGTGGTTATAGTCATCTCTCCCCTCTGGCTCAAATTACCCTCATCTTCTGTTTTCTAAAATCCATCAATTGTTTTTACTCTTTGATAGTAAACAAAAAGCATTTCCATAAAGGTCTGATTTGTTTGTATGTTTTAATTCCAATTTGTTCAAAAGCATTTTCATCAAAAAGTAACTTTTTTATAATAATCAAAAATTACTAATCTCTTTTTCCATTTTAAACTTTCTTATGTCCAATCCTTGTTAAGCTTTTTGTCAAACTTTTTAAATCTTTGAAACCTGATTTTTCCTTTTAATCCAGAAAGAATGTTGACTCAACAAGTGAATTTCTCTTAGCCCACTGCTTAGAAAATCTCTTATCTGTAAATTGATTACAACTGAAACTGTTTAAGAAAGTGAGGCTTCTGCTAACCTTGTGTCCCAATGGTGGGATTCAATTTTTTTTACTACCAGTTCTATTAGTGTGGCTTGTGGGCATGGCAGGGGAAGGATACTGTAAAATCTCCAGTCAGAGATGATATTTGCCTGTTCTCCAAACTACTCAAAATTTCCACTACCAGTTCTCCAGAACTGGTCAGAACCTGCTGAATACCACCTATGGAACGCATGCATCTGTTGTTCTGAGACGATTGCGTAGCTGTTGCCTTTATGTGTCTGCAAATGTTAATGTGTTGTCTAGGGGGCGCTCAAACAAGAACAAGAATTTGGATCAACCAGTCAGACTGCAGGATGTGCATCTCCATACAATGCATACAATGCAATCTTTCTGCAACCATCTGCAACTTATGCTAATGTGTCCATACGAGATGCATTAGAGCTGTGAGCTTGACTGAAATGCTTCAGGTCCTAGCTGCTCAATTCATGAGTTCACCACAAAAACCCCAGTTCCTGTAACATCTGTCCAGAGTGCAAGTGGGAGATTTCACTTTCCTTCCTTGTCTGGTGAAATAAATTCACTAACTGGTTACTGTTATTCATCACAATACTATCCCCACCTTTCAGGAATGTCTAGTCTGCCATAGATCCTCATTCAGAAGCAGAATTATCTGATTTACTAGCAGACCACTTTGCCTCTGAAGATTGCAGCCACAGTTGCCAGTGAAATGCCTGAAGCTCAATACTACTACTATTTTTCTGCTATTTTTCCCAAAAATATTTCCTATCCTGAAAATAAGCCCTAGCTTGATTTTTCAGTGTGTGTGCCTAATATAAACCTTACCCACAAAATAAGTCCTAGTGAAGAATTGTCATCAGCTGGGGGGTGGGCATGGCCAACACAGGAAGTGGTGACAGAGCAGGGGCCAACGGTGTCCAGCAGCAGCCACAATCAAGGTGAGTTGATTACCTGTCCAAGCAGCAGAGGGAGGCATAGGTGTGGGGAAGGCAGGTGACTCAGCTGTGCCGCATGAGCTGTGGGAAAGCCAAGAGTAGGTGGGCTGGAGCAGGTGGCCAGCCATGGGAGGTTCGTCTTTGCGTAGTGGCATTGGCACCAGATGGAGGCAGAGGCACAGGGGAGAGGAGGGGGAAGGCAGGTGATCCCAACGCTCTGCAAGGGCCGCAAGCAAGCCAAGAGACGCAAAGATGAGCCTCATGCAGCCACCGTCTCTTGGCTTGCCTGTGGCTGTATGGCGTGTCCGGATTGCGTGCCTGCCCCCATGCCTTTGCCTCCATCTGCTGCTGATGCCACCATGTGACAACAAGCCTCCCGCAGCCAGCTGCCCACTCCATTCCACCTCTCTTGGTTTGCCTGCTCCATTGCGGCTGCAAGCAAGCAGAAGTGGACATCCTGTACATGGGGGAAAAAATAAGACATTCCCCAAAAATAAGCCCTAGTGCTTATTTTGGATCCCTAAAAAATATAAGACCGAGTCTTATTTTCAGGGAAACACAGGGTAACAAATATCAGCCATGGAAGTGTACACCAGTATTTTTCACCACAATTTTTAAAATTTCATGACAATTTAAAATTTACTTTAATTATAATTACCATGGTCAGCTTTAACATGATCATACAGTAAGCCAAGGATCATGTCTTGACATACCAAGAAATGAAGGAGATCAAATTGCATGCTGCTTATTAACCTCCTCTTTACGTAAGTGGGTAAACAAACTAGACAGCTTGGTATAACATCCAAGCCCAGGAATATATTTATTGTGTCCAAACAAGCCAGAAATGTGTTTAAATCAAGGTTTAAAAATCTATCTTATTTGTGTATAGCAACTATACAAAGTTCAAACTAACCTCTCTTTGTCTTTTCTTCACTAACAAAGAATAGAAGGAAATAGGTTGCATTTACAGGCAAAATGCAAAAACCCACGGCGTATCCTGTAAGAACATGATCAGTGTGCAAAAAGGGGAGGGCAGATAAAAGGTGACACTTTTACAGTCATCACTCTCCATTTATCAAAAGTTGAACATTTATATGCAGTATAACATTTATATGCAATTCTTATCATTCTATAGTTTTCCAATCATTTTCTTTTTAAAAATATACTGTATACTAGAAGGCTAAATCATCTCAGTGTGGACTTTGCTATAAATGAATAGAATCCAGCTGCCACAGTGTACACCTTCTGAATTTAGCTAACTCCTTTGCACGTGTGTGGAAAAACATCTCTATCAACTATAAATGGCTTCAGTGCAGAAGCAATGAGAATAATATTTGCAGTAAGAAGTTCATAAGGTCTCAGCTATTATCCCCAAACTTGCCAATGATATATTGCACTCTGCTGACTTCCTTTAGCTATTTAACATCAGGACTTGCTATTTTCATGCTGGTTGCAAATGAAGAACAACAGAGAGCTTGAAATAATATGAACTCTGTGAATTCTGTCACAGTGTGAAGGTTTTTCTGTATTACTGCCCACTAGACTAATTTTAAATTTAATTAAAATGTACATAGAACAGCTACTGAAAGAAAATGGCCCATTAGGGCACAACTCAGGCTCTCCAGTAAGTATAAAGGTCAAGATGAAGGAATAAATAAATGATAGAGGGAAGGATTTTTTTCTATACCTCTCTGTAAGTTCATCACTAGGTGTGCTTTTCATAGATAGTTCCTCTTCCAGTCTCTTCCTTTCTGCTTCTAAATGCTTCAATTCATCTTGCGTGCGCTTACATGAGGTGACAAATTGAAGTTCTTTCAGAAGCTCTTCCTTTTCATTTATCAGCATCAACTTTTCCTTCTCAATTTCCAGTGCCCCAGGCCAAGCTTCACTTTTTAACTTAGAAAGTTCTATTTTTAAGTTTGCCATTCTGAAAGAGACAGACAGACACAAAGAACAGATAAACAAGAATTCCAGTAGGACAAAAACAAAGGATAAACCAAAAGGTCTCTTATCTCCTTGCCTTCTCCACTTTCAGTGGCTCAATAATATAGTAGGACCTATATGTGTGAAGCCTAACAAGTACAGGCTGAAATCATCCAGATAATTTCTAATTATTTTTCTGGTTATTTATTTAGCATATGACATTTTTACAATGCTAATGCAGAGTAGTTTGGCTGCCTGTTTACCAGCTTTGTTAAGTACACACTTGTGCACTTCTCAAGATGCAGCATAGGAGGTGAGCTAGCTTTGCACCAGAAAGAAAGACTAGTGGCTTTTCCTGAAGCACCATCAAGGTCCTCTCCCTCTACTTTGCAAATGGGTGTCGCAACCTGGAAGGTTCGGTTCCAGCAGGATTTTAACTGCTGCATGAAGTGCTGGCTTGTCTCCTCATCGAAGTGGTACCTGTTTATCTATTTGCATATAACATGCTTTCGAACTGCTAGGTGGGCAGAAGCTGAGGCAAGTGATGGGAGCTCACCTCATCATGAAGTGAACCATCAGACTTGAACCACCAGAGCAGACACCATATCCCTATCCAGTGTCATTAAGCCACTGAGCCATCACACCTCATTTTTCTAGCAAGTCAATATATAAAAATATTTTAAATAAATATACCACGTAGCATCCTGGATTCTGATAAAGTTTTTCACTATAGTATGCACAGTTGGTGGAGTTAAAGGCCAGAGGATGAGATAGTGAGCAACTTTTTTTCACGTGAAGTGAATCAATCAAATTCATATCATTTATTATTTATTTGATTTTATATCACCTTTATTATTTTTATAAATAAAATACACAACGCTATGACGGGGGTGGTGGTTGAGAGATTGTGACTGGCCCAAAGTCATTCAGTGAGCTTTCATGTCTAAAGTGGGATTAGAAGTAGACTAGAACTCCCAGCACCTTAACCACTACACCAAACTAGATCTATAATCTGATCTAGTCCAGGGCTATCTTAGTTAATGATTAGGGACAGGAAAAATAAGAACCTTGATAAATTCCCAAGACTCGAGTGAAATGCATTATTCACATGATGGTTGGTTTTATTAAAAAGTGATTTTCCAATTGATAAGGTTTTTAACTGCAAGACAATGAAAACTTTTAATGAACAAAGGGTTCTATTTTATAATTACTATCACATGAAAATAGCAGCTGTCAGCCTTCTCTGGCATTCATTTTATGGAATGTTCTCTTAAAGAGAATGTTTCAAATTCTTTCCAGCGTAAAAGTACAAAATGTGTTGTTGGCATAGACTAAGCCAAAAATCTGATCCACTATTTCATTTACATAGTGCCCCCCCCCCCCCAAAATGGTGAAATTTAACAAAAGATCATGAGTGCATCAGTACCCTTACTCATGGTTTATGTATTATACTGCTTCCCATATTACAGGAAATATATGGAGTTCTAATGTACCCATTAAGGCATTTATAATCCATTGATTATCTAATCACTTTTAAAGCCATTTAAGTTGGTGTCTACTATATAGTAGTGATATCCTCAGCTCAGCCTTCTTATTTTGATTTCTTAAGTATCTAAGCGGCAGCTCTAAAAGCTATGTACAACAAACATGGAAAGAAATAAAATCATTCTGGTTTACTAAATGAAGGTCCATACTGATGGAACACATCAGATTTATTTCATTTTTATCAATAGTTCATATCTAGCCAAGCTTGGTTAGAAATATCCCTGACTACAGTGACATGCAAGGTGGGATGGTGTCTCAATGGTTTTTCTTCTTCTTTAAAATGCTTACTAATCAGTAATTGTCACTGACTGATCATCTCTCCAGCTACCAGAGCATGCCTCTTAGCTTCTTATATTGGATGACTTCCCTTTAATATTGTACTTGATCACTTAATTAAGTTTTTAAGTCTTCACTGATACTGCTTGTCAATTCCAAATGTTATTTTAATGGCAGATTTCTATGTATATTTGAACCATTTATATGTTTTGAATAGGATATTGAAGGCTTCCTGAAGCCTTTTAGAAACAAGATTCTCAATTTATTAATGTGATAAGAAAAAAAGATGGTGAAAGTATCATTTTTGCTTTATCCTTTACATTATTGTACATGTAGATGTATCACCTTGTGTAGTGACCGTTCCAAGCTATGACAGCACAGAAAAAGCAATTTTAAACCAATCTCTGGATTGAAAACTCATGTGATACCCCTGTGGTCACAAAATTGATATTCAGGCACTTTGCAAATGGCAGCCATCTATGACTGTTGCAGCATCCTATAGTCACATGATCACTATCCTACAGTCACATGATCACCAGTTAAATCTATTGATTGTACTGAATCAATAGAGGTGGTGGCAGTAGACAGTCAGTTTGGTATAGTGGTTAAGGTGCTGCCCTAAATCCTAGGAGACTCTAAGCTGACTCAAATGACTCTGGGCCAGTCACTCTCTCTCAGCTCCACCCACCACACAGGATTGTTGTTGTGTGGAAAATAGAAGGAGGAAGGAGAATTATGCATGTTCACCGCTTTGAGTTATTTATAAAAGTGAGTCGGGGAGACTGAGCAAGAGTGGATTGGCAAGGGTGTATGAGGAAGCAGTGTGAATCAGTGAGGGCACAGAAAGGTATGGCATGAACACAGAGGTGGCGAAGCAGAGTATGTGGGAGGGGATATTTATCCTAGTGATTTGCAACCTTCCCTGCCAACTCCCCAATTAATTTTCTCAGGAGGATGGCAGTGAAGGTTGCAAATAGCAATCATGTGTTTATGGAGTGCATCAATTGGTTATAAGTGTGAACTGGTTGCCAGGTGCCCAGATTGTGATCACATAACTGCAGGGTGCTGGGATGGCCAGAACTCTAAGGACTGGGGTAACCACATTTGTCCAGTGCTGTCGTAACTTCAGTCACTGAAAGTGTGATTGAAGATCTAGGACTTCCTATACAATTATGAATTCTAGTAACATTTTTTGTTGCTTTTTATCATTTCGGGTAACATTTTTATCATCATTTGCAATTTCTGTAGGTATCAATAAGAATTTCCATGTCATCTGATAAACAATTGGTATTTCTCTTTGAAATGCTCACTTTATTCACATTGCCTTTGAATAGACTGTGGTATGTATTTTGCACCTTGGTTCTAATACTGAATTTGAGATTGCTATGTTACATTTTATGTCATTACAATTAAGATTACGTTCTTAAAGCCACTAGTTTATATATCCTAATTTTCCTACTACTACCTAAACATACAGGCAGTTCCGAAGTGTAAAGTGTTTGTTTTGCAAGTGAGGAAACTACTAGTAATAACCTGTTTCCCTGAATTTGCTGTTTAATTTGGTTCACATTCTTTTGCTTACAATTCTTTTGTTAGTGGAAACAAAATAGCTCCAAGTATTCACTAATAGACCAATATACAAAAATAAATGATCCAATATACACAAATAAATGATCCTGATAAGAATATTAAACTATGTTTTCAATAGATGCATCCAGTAGATGTCACTGCAAGCATTATATTGGCTACATGGCTTTATAGACTCAAACAAAATGTATATTCTAACAAAGAAATAAACTCTTTCTTTACCTTCTTTTAGCTTCTTCATAGTGAAGACTCAATCTGACCTTTTCAGCTAAATTGGCCATGTTCTTTACACTGACCTGTTGAAAGAATCACCATCTCACAGCATATATCATTAAGGATACATGAAATAATTTGATTCATTTAGCTAAATAAGCTAAATAAATAGAAACACATTTCAAAACACTAATTGCTGTTTGTCAGCTCAATGCCTAATTCAAATGTTTTCTAGAAGAATATATGTTTATTACTACTAAATAACCTTAGGATGTATTTTAACAGAAGAAGGTACAGTTCTATTAAGGCCAACTTTGAATCTCCATTTAATCCCAAATTGTTGCTTAGCACTTTGAACTCAGAACTTAAGAGATCGATGAAGCTCAAAGGAGGACTTCAGTGAGACTGAAATTGTTAAAAACCACATTTAAGTATGGGCTGCTTCTAATAAAAGCCTAGTACAATCATTCCCAGAGCCTTTTATGATTCCACCTTAAGAAATAGACCAAAGTTTAGAAAACATATGTGAATATAAACTTATGGCAATCATTCCAGTCACTGAGAAATATTTTAAAGTGACTAAATTGGACTTTTTAAAATTGGACTTTGGGGTTTGATCATTGCTTTTTGGAGAAAAAATAAATGAGGTTCACTTATATTTATATACAACAATATTCATTGAATACATGTCATTTTGGATAAGACCTATTTGGCATAATGTGTTAGATGACTTCAAAAATGAATTCATATTACATTAAAATGTTTTTGGAATGTGATACTAATAAGCTCTAAGAAAACTTGGAGGGTAGAGGGAGATGTGGTTAGACTGAATCTCACATTGTTAATCTAAATTTAGGATATCAGGAAGCCTAGAAGGGGAGAGGAGGAGAAGGCAGGGAGGGGAGGGAAGATGTTCAGTGAAATTCTTGATTTAAATAAATAATAGAAGATGATGTATTCCATAGTATATTAAAGATATAGTTTCTTGCGAATACAAAATTTTTTGCAAGTTTTTAATATGACTGTTGTAGCTACTTTGCCAAATTAAAACCAACTTGGATCAGAATTAATATTCTAGAATAAAATGTATATCTGAGAAAAACACAAGGAAAAAAATTGCAAACTAGAAAATTATATTCCAATTCTGCTTATTAATGATAACAACATAGATACTATTTGTAGATAAACCATATTCCAAATATCCCATCTAGAAAATGTGATACCATCCCTCAGGGGTGGGATTCAACCAGTGTTACGACCAGTTCGGTGGTTACATTTTGATATTTTGACTAACATTTGACTCAGATCTCTTCAAGAGTGTTCCATAGCTATTTTTTTCATCCCCTCCTTTAGATATTAGGAAAAACATACATCACCAGAAATGTCTGTCTGAGACCCTGCATCCAAAGTTTGCTTGGAGAGAGACTGTTGGGAATCTGCTAGGCTGCATCTCAAGTCTGATTCTGATTGGGCAACAGTATGACCAAGAAGAAATCTTTCTTTCAACTTTGCAAGGCTCTGGGGAACAACAATAACAAATCACTGCAGATTTTGTTATTAAAAAAGAACAACACACACCAAGATATCCATAGGCAAGAGAGAGGCAGAATAATATTTAGTAAGGAATATCTTATAATTGTTCATCAACATTTACCGTATCTATTTTGAAAGACAACTTGGTGCATGAATTTTCCTCTCTGTCTCTCAAACAAGATATTTAAAAAGACATGGTGAGAAACTTTAGTTAACTATGGCAATACTATCTTGCAATGGTTTCCAAAGCCTGGAAATGAAAATGGCAATCATTTTACAAGACCAAAATATCTGCTCATAACTCTCTAACCAATAAGGGAGATACTAAAATACACAAATCCAGTTTCCAAGATCCAGTTCTGTAATTTAATCTCTCCCTTTTTGTCTTTTCTACAAATTTAGTAAGACCTTAGAAACTACCTCTCTTACTTATGATGGATGTTAGTGTTAGGACCTAATGTATCCTTATTCCCAAAAGACCACCACTACCAATGCTGAATAAAAATAATATCAAAATACCTTCATTAAATCTTGCTTTTCTTTTTCACCAGAGCTTATAGCTTTTTGGATAGACTTCAATTCATTCATAATAGCTTTGGCTTCACTTAACTCATATCCATTCTGGCCTCCAGACATTTTTTGGTCAATTCTGTAAAATAGTACATTGATAGTAACTCTTAAAAAAAGTGTTGTTACTGGCATTTAGAAGGTTATTCTACAGAGGAAAAAAGAAACAGGCAATTTCTAATAATATTATCTTCCATAAAGAGAGACTATTTTCAATCAAAATATAGGAGCATCAGAGAGTACTTTAATCTTAGTAATACCATATTTCCAAATTCTATCCCTACTAATAGATAGGTGGGAATAGAGATCTTTGGCAAACAGACAGCACAAAGCTTCAAATCATCTGGAAATTAAATCTACATTCTTATATGTACCTCCCTAGGAAAAAGCCTTTTTAATCCCAGTGAATTTTGCTTCTAAGGAAATAACAATAAAGTTCATAGTGTGTATATATCTAAATTGGTCAAATGCCTAAGTTGCAATATAGATACAGTATCAACTTTCTTCCCTTAAAGGAAGAAAAGATCTGTCATTATTCATAGATTTGTCTTCTTGGTATTCACTTGCATTAAATACCTGATATTTTATAATTAAAACAATATTATGAAGTCAAAATTTACCAAGGAAGTATGAACAAATATAAATGTCCAATCTCCTTTTCCTACTTTTACTTTTCTATAGACTGAAAAGCTTTGTCACACATCTGAATCAGATTCCATTTTCATCCAAATATTACAGCAATGTATGTACATACACACATGCACACACACACATACACCCCTACATCCACATCTTCCTAAAATATATTCTACATTGTAAAATAGGTAAATGGAGGTTATTGAAATTAGAAATAATTATAATCCAGGAATGTGATTTTTTATTTGTTAGACCAATTTATAACACATACCAGTAATCTAGGATTTTTTTAAACTTATCATTTCTTGGCCTGCTTCCCACAAAATACTAAACCATACTGAGTAACTTGAACCAAAGTCTCCTCCCAAAATTAAATGCCAGTATTACTGCCTAAATTAGACTTTAGTATCTCTAGTGTAACATATCTTTTTCAAAGAATGAAAGCAAAAAAGAATTATGAAGTGTTTTACATATTACTGATCAATTATTTTAAAGTATTCATCTGCATCTATAACATTAACTCCCAGGGACACAATTTTATAAAATAATTGGAATTTTAAAAGATTGATTTTTAAAATTTACAATAAACATGTCTATTCATAACCAAAATGGATCTAATAAAAACCTAATCTCAATCACTATACTAAAAAGTAGAATGAAAGCAAGAAAAACAGCAGTCCAATAGAAACAATTAAAATTATGTGCTTCAATAAAATAAATAATAAAAAGAAAACAGCATCAATAAAGAAATGTCAGGTGTGAAAGACCAGGTTCACATGTGAAGGTTCAATTTAACTGTTTTACTGCTAAAAGCCCATGCATTACTGTTTTACTGCTAAAAGTAATGCCCATGCATATGAATCTTCTCAACTAATGATATAATTGGTTAGAGTTAGATAAGGGTCAATGGCAGTGAAGTTAGACTTAGTTCATTTGTGACTACATAGGGTTTCTAGGCTGCTTCCTCTTTTCACTCCTGCCCCTGGTTCTGTCACTCCTTTTCCTACAGAGTCCTCACATGGTGAAGTGGGGGAGCCGGCAGCTTGGTCAGTCATGGCTTTTTAGAGAAATGGTGGGAAATGGTGGGAAATGGTGAAACTGCTGAATCAAGTCGAGAGGCATAGACATACCTGACATTGTCCCAGGTTCATTCAGATTCTGAGGACCTTTTCCAATGGATCAGATATTGTGTGCTTTTGTCCCTTTCCCTAGAATCCCAGATTTCTTATACTTGATGTTCCTTTTCTACTTTCACAATTACAGATGGTGAGAATGGGTGCTGGGAGTGTAAGGTGCTAGGGCAGGAGTAGGGAAACTTGGCTCTTTTATCACTTATGGACTTCAACTCCCAGAATTCCTGAATGAGCTATAAAAAGTTCCTCACCCCTGGCCTACTGGTTTTTCAGTTGTGGGGGAAATCAATTTTTGACTTGAATGGGACTGTTTAATATACAAATGAAGGAAATATATGTCCTATATTTGTATATTAAACAGTCCCATTCAAGTCAAAAATTGATTTCCCCCACAACTGAAAAACCAGTAGGCCAGGGGTGAGGAACTTTTTATAGCTCACTCAGGAATTCTGGGAGTTGAAGTCCGTAAGTGATAAAAGAGCCAAGTTTCCCTACCTCTGTGCTAGGGGATCTTTGACCAACAAGGATCAGTGAAAAACTGGATGCACTTTCATGGAGGGTGGTATCTGCAAATTAACTGCTTCAGGGCTGATCTACTGGATGATTTTGAAGGGTCCCAGAAATTTAGCATCCAGTTTTTTAGATGGTCCTGTTCAGACAAAAAAATTTATAAGAGAGCCAGACTTGGCTTCTTCAGCTCTCAGCGGCCCTTTCTGTCAATTGATGTCTGCAGATTTCTTTATGACTGCTTCAACTTGTTCTAGCTGCAGTTTCAACAGTGGTTGGGCAGCCAGCTGCTCTTGCAAAAATCCACAACTCTAGGATGGACTCTTCCTTGGGTTCTCTGGTAGAATAGGATGTGTGCCATATAAGGCTTGAAAATGGGCCATAGCAATTGATGTGTGGAGACAGTTATTATATGAAAATTCTGGCAACAGCAGTAAGGAGGACCAGTTATCTTGGCTTTAGCTGCAGTAATATCTTAAATATTGCTGCAAGAGTTGGTTTGTTTTCTCTACCTTGCATTTTGCCATTCATTCCAGAGTGATGGGCTGAAGACAAGATAACCTGAACATTCAAAAGTGGGAACTGTGCCCTCCAAAATCTGGAAGAGCTGATTTCCTCTAGTGAAGACTATGCCTCTATATCAATAGATGTGATTCAAAAATTGCTGAGCAGTTTCCTTGGCAAGCAATCCCTTACAAGGAATGAAGTGAGCCATTTTTGTGAAAAAAAATCCACTATGACTGGGTTGGCTGTTTAGCTGTGGACTGAGGGTAAATCAATAGCAGTCAAAGTGGGTTGGACGTAGTTCATTTGTGGCTACATAGTGACTTTAGGATGATCCTTCTTTTCACTTCTCCCTCAGCCTCTGCTTGTCCTTCTTCTACAAGAAGGAATGGTTTTCTTTTTTCCAATATAATCTAGCATTCTTACGTGCCAAGTTATATTTTCAAGGAAAAGATTCACAAACAGTTTAAAACTTGAAAGACCTTACATATAATCTTAGAGGAGTTTTGCACTGAAAATAAAATCTTTTCTTGACTTTATTATGGGCTTCCAATTAAAAAAATAATTACTCAAGAATTTGCTTAGAGCAAAATTATCCACATAATTTGACATGGGTTAAATTTCATTAAAGAAAACACTGTAATGCAGGAAATAGAGATGACTATTTGTTGTATAAACAAGAGATTAAAATATTATCAGTTAAATACATATATGGTGGAGATTAGTTTACTATCCCAAACTAAAGAAAAGAAGGGAAAACTAGTCCAAAACTTGTAACATTAAACTAGAATTTAAGCATGATCTATACCTGGATTCTATTTAAATGTGCTATTGACAGCAGAGTATTTACTTCCTAATCATGTTTGATTTTTGCTGCATTATCATCCAAACTGGATTAACTGAACATAAAAACAAGTGATACGAATCAGAGGTTTTTCAGCATGCTGCAGTCCTATTGCTTCAAAGTATTACATTTTAACTTGCAACTACTTTTATAACAGATATGGCAGAAATGAATAAAGGGTCTTTCCAGTATAAAATGTATCCTGACTCCCTGCTTTCAATAAATAGAATTAGTGCTAGTCATAAACTGACAGCCACAATTTTCATAACAAATGTTCATTGTTTATTTGTTGTACGCTGCTGAATGTTTCCCAAACTTGCTTTGGTTTCCTAATGAAATTACTTGCGAGCAAATTGGTTTTCAAATAACATTTCATTTTACATTAATATAAAACAACCAGTGTGTTGGAGTAACTTTAATTTTAATAGAAACAGAAATTCTAAAGCTGTAAGTATACTTATGCTTTAAAAGAAAAAGCAAACTGGGAACAAAGAAGTACCAGTGTTTTTTATTATCTCCAACGTTCATTTAAAAATTAAAAGTCTTGGTTGTGAATTGTTTAAACTTTAATTCTATTTAATTTCATATTTTAAGATAATTTGGAATAATAATTTTAGATTTAAATTCTTAACCATTTACAAAAAATAAAAAAGGAACACTTGCAAGAAATCTGCTCAACTTTCTTTTAAGTACATTTATTTAGTACTGGGTATTCTGTAATATGCCACAGGAGTTAATATAGCTGCTATTTATTTGCCACCCAGCCAATTTAGATGATTGACTTTTCCTTTTGGGCAGGGCAGTCTTCAAATAGATATTCGTATTATGCTTGTCTAAACTTTGCCAAATACAAGTAGAGTGAACAGGCACTTAGGGAATGCAAAGATCAGTGAAGCAAAAAGAACATGGGATTTCTCCAATTTCTGATTTATTTCAGCCCCATCTTTCCTCTGTTTCAACCTTCTCACTGAAGCTTGTCCTTTTCCATGACAGTTAAATATTCAGTAAAGGTCTAATTATACTTAAAGGGCGCATGGTGCCAAAAAACCAGCCTGCAATGCTGCTTCTCCTGTCTTTTTTGGCTGCTTTTTTGCTTTTCTCCATCACACAAGTGGCAGACAGGGACCTATTCAATTCTTTCACTTTTTACACCTTTTAAATAGCTTTCTGCTTTTCTTCTTTAGTAACAGGGCATTCTAAAGATGGTTAGATTTTCCATAGGCAATTGGATGTAGATTTTTCTCACCTATTTCAAGGGAAATAATTATTCTTTGATTTACTTCTAATCAATGGGATGAATTATTTAAGTCAATTTCAATTATTTTCTTATACTCACTGTTGCAATGTTTCATAGCCTTGCTCCTTATATAATAATTCTTGCTTCATCTGCAAGAGTTCCCTCTTCAGTTTTTTAACCTTGTATGTAAAAATAAAAGTTTAAGACACTGCTTTTAAGTGTAAAATAGTTCAGAATAATTAGCACCTTTAAACATGAACAATAAATAATACCTGGTATCTTGAATTGTCCTTGTTCCTGCTTTTTAAATACTACTACCATACATGTAAGACCACATGAAATTGACTTTGTCACATGATATTCTGTGGAAAAAATGTTTTTCTTTCAAGTTCCTGCTGACTTAATTCAACATCATCTGATTCATAATGTTAAAATGATGGTCAAATGGTCCACAACTATAGATGGTATCATAGGGCAGGAAATTTCTTCCCTTTAACTCAGGGGTGTCCAATCTTAGCAATTTTAAGACTTATGGACTTCAAATCCTAGAATTCTGGAATTTGAAGTCTACCACTCTTAAAGTTGCCAAGGACACCCCTGCTTTAAATCCGTTCCTGTGACTACACCTGTCCTGTAGAACAACATTCTCGCTTCCAAAATATGGGTACTCCAATCCTTTTATTTTCCCAGGTGTTTGGGTCGAGAGGCTAGGTGAGTTCTCCTAGTGATGTCAGTTTTGTTGTTGTTGTTGTTGTTTTGAGTGTTGTTGTTTTAAAAAGAAAATGAAGGATTGTATTCTGTAATAGTGGCTTTAATCTTTGCACACTGCACAGAGTCACTGCTGTGAGACGGCTAGCTTTATAAATCATACAAATGAATAAATAAACCCTTCTTAACTAAATCTTCAGAACTATTCTCTCTGCAGAATTTTTCTTCCACAAAAGAAGACTGACAGCAACAACTGACTCTAAATGGAAAAAGGAGGAAATCCTTTAAATAGGAAAAAACAATTATTTTGTGTTTCAACATGGAGAACAAAAATAAGAGGTCCAAAAAGAACAACAACTATGTATGAGATGATTGGATGTATGTACTAAAATTGTGAGGGAATTATTTTGAATCCTGGCCCACATACTGTATATGTACATTTTGGTTTAGAGACATTCTACTAAACATATTGTATCTTAAAACACTAGTTATGTCAAAGATTTAAATATTTAGTCAATCAGTAGTCCAGCATTTTTATTGCTATTTTCAATCACATTCAAATTCATTTACCAAGGGTGCTAGCAGTCAGCAATTCCAAACCAGATAGCTACATATATAACTAATGTTCTTATTAAGTTCTAATAAACATGATGAGCGGGTCAAAGGAAATACTTTTATAGGTCAGTGCTTTCTCCAACAGACATACATAAATTGGATATGAACTCTGTCTCTAGATTTGCCTATTAGTGTTCAGAATTCATTTCTACAGAAAAAAGGACTATTACCGCTCTGGATATGCTAATGCTTACTAATATTGTGAAAATTAACTATTCATAAATAATTAATTAGTCTGAAAATAATTCTTCATATATTTGTACCATTGTTCAGCTCTGAACGCTGGCATAACTTGTGTTTCAATAAAGTCAGCACCACTACCTCATCTAAATAAACCATTGTTAGCATTTGCTGAACACCAAGGGTGTTCATGACAAGCATCTGGTATGAGAGATATGCTGGATTAAAAGATGTATCTTTATTTGGATAACATCATTTACCAAGAAATTCATATTCGCTTGCTAGGTTAACTTGTCAATGCCTATGTGTCTAAGGAAGCTATTCTTATTCAAAAGAGGACTTATCCTCAACATAGCCATAGGGAGATCGCTTAAGAGAAAAAGAGCACAAATAAGATTAGGGGAGGACTCCTGACAGGCATCAATGTGTGGGGAGAGGAAAGGAGTTTGCAGGGAAACAGAATCTATACAAAGAAAAAAAAAATCCAAATGGGCACACTCAACAATGTTCATTTCAAAACAGATATCTTTGGTTTAATATTATCTCCATATGTTGATCATGAACAAGTCCTAAAGCAAATATTACTTTTAAAATTATTAGCACTACAAATGTCCACAAAAATATAGGCTTGTATATGTAATTAGAAAACAATTTAGTTGAGTTATTGGGAGATTTCAAAGCATTCTTACCCTTAATCTTGTAGTGGAGATTTCTGCTTTCAGAATATCAGGATCATATTTTGTGCTGGAAGAGGAGCTTGAGAAAACTTATTAGGGGAATAAGGGGAAAAAGACAATGAACCATTTTATATTTCAATTCCCTAAAATATTCAAAACAGCAGTTCAACACAATTATAAAAGGCAAAATAAAAGATTTGTTACGATATTACAATGAAAATTACAAAATGTAAGGAGCAATTATTCAACAAAGTATTTTCACTTTTATCATTTCGATAGCATTATTTATTTAATTCCTTTATTTAGTCATTTTCTCTAAGAGCTATTAGTGATGTATGCATCTACATGTATGCATCTACAAGGGTTGCTTCCCATAAAGCAACCCTTGAAGTAGGATGAACTGAGAGAAGCAGATAGGCTCAGATTAATTCAGTGACAACTACATTTGAAGGTAGCCTTGAATTTAGGTGTATCTTTCAGAATTTAGCATTAACCAAAACAATACACTCTCATTGATGCATTTAATCCAACTTCATTTTCAGATGGCTTGCTTGTTCATGGGAAGCCATTAACAGAATAATTCAGCATACCAGAATAAATAATTACTTCTGCAAGTACAAGAGATATTTATAGCACAGGAATGGACATTTGTTTAGAATTATGGTGCTGAATCAGGATTAACTTACATATGATTCTAAATCTTCACTATATTCATGAACTTGAGTGAACTTAGGCACAAAGAGCCAAAATCCATCCTCCTGATCCCATTCATTTTTTTCAAGGAGAAAAGGGTATGTTACTGTCCCACTCTACAGTAGTTCTCCTTGTCATATGAAGTTTGATAACATGTAAGATAAAGTCAGAAGTGCTGGTCTCCACTTGTCATATGGTATACTGGAATTCTTCTGGAAAAATGTGCAAAAATGCTGAAGTCTTTCTGGGTAAACTAGATAAGTATCGTACCTAAATGTTTTTTGCCAGTCACTGCCACCTGGCATTTTCCCACATGCTTATACGTGTTCTAGCTAAGGTGGCTGTAGCAACTTAATTACATGGCACTTTTCTACTTTTAAGAAGACCCAGATGAGCTAAGATAGATTTACCCTTAAAGATCCTTTAGCTTGGGCACTTTCAACATGCATTCTGAGTGATAAGAATTTGGAAGATTCTCATTTAAGGATCTCATTTAAGGACCACAGCCAGAGTGTTATGCCAAAGAATCAGATTTGGCTGAGGGTCTCTTTAATGCCCTGTAATGTCCACTAATTCAATATATAAAACCAACAGAGTCTATACTATAGTGATTATAGTATAAGGGTTTTAGGAGACTTCCTTAGCAAACCTTTGTATACAAGTAGTCAACTTACAACCATACGGTAAAGACAGTTCAAAGTTACAAAAGTGGTGAAAAAATGGACTTAGGACCTGTTCCCAACTTACATCTGTTGTACTGTGCTTGTAGTCACATGATCAAAATTCAGGCACTGGGCAGCCCACCCACATTTACAATTGCAGGGGTACTACACTACAGTACCCCACCTGCCTCTCTTTTGTACCCTGCCTTGCAACTGGGATTGCCATTGTAAATCATTGTGGTTATGTGGCATCTTGCTTTACAACTGCATCACTTTGTGAAGGAAACTCCAGTCCCAATTGTGATTGCAACTGTATAATGTCTCCTGTTAATTCACTGTTATCCTGAATCTAGCCTGCACTGGATATCTGTTTCTCCAATCAAACATTCATAAAATTGTAGACTTTGACATTACGTTAGATTGCAATCTCAGAATAGATTTCTGGAGGTCTGTTTTCCAGAGCTGGCCAAGACCAAGTTTTTAATCAGCATTATTTCTGCCCCAATATCTGATCTCAGATCTGGATGCTTCCAGCCTTTCAACTATATGGTGAAATAATTGTTTGTACAGGTAATCCTCAACTTACAACCGGTGTTTAATTACCATTCCCAGTCACGATAGTCTTAGAAAAGGTGTTTTATGGTCCATAAAACACTTCTAGCTATTGTAAAACCTTGTGCCAGGCACACCCCCATCACATGACCACATTTTGGGTGCTTGGCAATCTGCTTGCATTTACAACTGGTTGCCAGGCGTCCTTGCAATCACATGATCACCATTTGCAATCTTCTCTTCCAGTTTTCCCCAAAAGTAAATAGGGAAGCGGAGGAAATGTTGGATTTGAGACTTGTTCCCACAATGAGTGAAGAGATTCCCCTCCATGCAGGGAAAAATGTTAGCAAATGACAACATTTTGCCCATCCAGAGGAGAAAACTCAAGCGACTACCAGCATTTCTGTAAAGACCAGTTGCAGTTTTTCCTGGATCAGGATTCCCTGCCCTTAGTCATTCAGATCCTAATCATCTCACGGTTGGACTATTGCAATGCGCTCTATATGGGATACTCTTGAAGAGTATTCAGAAGTAAGAATGCAGCAGTGTGGGCAATTGTGGGTTCCCAAGAATGCTCTATATAACATCATTGCTCTGCGAGCTGTATTGGTTCCTTGTCTGCTTCTGGATGCAATTCAAGATGTTGGTAATCATCTTTAAAGCCCTTCATGGTATGGGACCAGGCTACTCGAGGGACCATCTCATTCCACTGGGATTGGTCTATTCCACCTAGTGCTGGCAGATAAGGCATGCTGTGAGCCCCATTGGCCCAATTATACTGGCTGGTGGGGTCAAGAGAAGGGCCTTCTCTGTCATTGCAGCTGCCCTCTGGGACATCTTGCCTTCTGAAGTGAGATTGGCTCCAATTGCCCTGACCATATGTAACAGCCTAAAGACCTGACTCTGCCAGTTAGCTGGGGGCTCCAACGGTGAGCATCACAGTGGATGTCATTGATTAACATCAGATCTTACCTCCCCACCATCCTGCTTCCGCCCCCCCCCCCATCTTTTAATTGCACTGCAGTGTTTGATTTTTTTTTGTACTAACTTATTTATATTTTTAGTTTTTTTATAATTTTTATCTCTTATGATTGTAAGCTATCCAGAGTTACCTTAAGGTAAGATGGGCAGCCAATAAAATTTACAAATAATAAATCAATAAACATATTTTTGTCCTTTCAGATGAAAAAATGCAGCTAACACCAGCATTTTGAGCCTTTCACAATAATGGCATTTGCTGGCAGTTTTGCCAGATTTGAGGTCCATTCTTCCAGCGTACCAAAGGATTTCCCCTCCTTGGTTTACTGTGCAGTTAAAATCCCTTGGTGTGCTGGAGGAATATGCCTCAAATCTGGTGAAAACACTAGTGAATGCCATAATTCTTGTGATTGTTATTTCCAATGGAGCAGAGACCATTGGGAAGAGACAGAAGGCTTCCTGGGTGTGGTGGGACTCCACTTAACAACTGCAACTAGGAAAGCAGGGAATACAGTCATTGAGTAAAACAGTAATGTAGCAACTCACTTAATGACCATTTTGCTCAATGACTAGTATTATGTACTCAATTGTGGTTGTAATTGGGGGACTACCTGTATGTGTTTCATACAGGTAAAGAAATGTTCAAATTCTCTGTAAAACCAAACTAGTTAGTAAATGAGAAGCCTCTGATTTCATTTACCCTTCCAGAATCAGGTGCTGCAGCTCCCAGGACTGGGATAGTTTAACTAGGGCTGGCCACAATTGTTTCTTGAAGATCAGCAAGATCTTTGGAATCGAGAAATGAAAGTTAAAAAATATGAAAAGAGAGAGATAGTATATTTCACATATCATACATATGTATTTGATACATACGACTTGTATAAGAGCTTGATTTTTCCTTGTAAACATCATTCAGCCGTACATATTCACCCAAGGCAAGAGCCAGCCTCTGCTCTTTCACATGGAAAAGTTCTTTCTTAGTGCTAAGTGCATCTTGAGCTACAGTAAGGTAATCTTTTAACATTTTTTCTTGTTCTTGTCGCCATTGCTTTCTTGGATCTTCTATCTGTGTAGTTTCTGTAAAGGTACAACAAGAAAATCTTCCACTCAGTTTAGCACTTAAAATCTATTAGTGTCTTAAATCTAAAAAAGAGAGAGAGAGAGAGACCAGGCAATAACTAATGCTTTTTAAAGAATTTGTTGATTCTGATTATGTATAAATGGCTTTATTTCTTGCTCCCTATTTCTTTTCTTTGTTTCATTTATTAGAATCATATTTAGGAAAATGAAAGCAGACTTTAATAGAGAAAATAAAAATGCCGTCGTTCAACTATACTGGAGAAGTATGTGAATTTGTGTAGATAAATAGTCTGTTTATCTTTTGCAAAACTATTTCTCAAGAGTTCATTCAGACTGGAGTCTATATAAGTCACATCTATATCAATCCCAAATGCATTTTAAGCACTGGCATAAGCTTGTGTATAATAGTTGTTTGCCCAAGTAGTTTGAAAAGATCAGAAAGGAGGGACAACTCTATAATCAATCCAGCAACTTTTATTTTGTAATAAGATCAAAGCTGCAGGAAATCTAGTGTGTGTCTGCACCTCATTTGCTTCCTATCTCTACTACTGGAAATGAAAATTCCCATGAGGAATGGGTGCTTCTGATGCCCAGACTGACTGCCTGTCTGAAACTAGGGCCAGTTCTGCTGAAATCTTGAGGAAAAAAAGCCTCAGCAGCTCTATCGGGAGACCAAGCTGATGAGTTGAGCCTAGTTCTGCCTCTCCAGCCCTGGATACAGTTTGTGGGCCGGCCTGAAAAATCACCAGATTGAGGAGACAGTTGGCTCCGTCCATCCATTTGCTCCAGGATTTTGGCAAATTGCTATCCCAAGGTCTCATGCCTCCTTTTTTCAGCCTTAAGCTGAGTTTTTGAGGCCTTCTTGGTAGCGAAGGCTTTGGCCTTAATTCTGGCCGGCGCCTGTCACTTAGTTGAATGGGGCTTTGCATGTCGTTTTCTCTTGGACGGCCCCTGAGAAGTTTTGAAGCAGTGGGCCTCATTGTGGCCTGAGAGTTCTGACAAGGCCTGAGTGTCCTCCATTTTCCTAACTGCCTGTCAATGTAGGTGCCGGAAACAGCCTATCAATTCTTTCTTCCTGGTCAAGTAGGCCAGGCGAGCGGGATCACCACTGTGAGGCCGTAAATACGCTGCGGGGTTAAGGCCTGAGATTTTTAAGTGGACGAAACTTCCTCAGGAACAGCTGAGAGGTGCTGTGATAAAGTGCCTGGCAAACAGCTGATTGGCGCTAGAAACCAGCTGATTGGCGCTAGAAGCCCTCACTACTGCTGCGCAAAGTCCTGGGCCGGCATGTGAAACCTCAGCACGAGCCGAGTCTCTTACACCAGTACTCACTGTCCACAGTTGTCATTCTGGCACCACTGGAGAATGGATCCCCGCTCTCCGCAATGGTGCAGGCTCCACCGGGAGCAGCTGATGGTTAATTTAAAGTCTTTAGTTGATCAGTTTTTGTTCACTCGTTAAACTAGAGCTCTAGAGACACATCCTTCCCCGATGGCATGGCAACAGAGGCAAGTCTTATCAGCTTGACAGATTCAGCCCCTATAAGGAAGGAGAAAGAGTTTTCCCTAACCTAACCTGGACTCTTGCAGCAGTGTGGCGGAGAATGTTGCCTCCCTTATTGTTTTATTTTATTTTATTTTTATTTATTTATTTTGATTTGTCAATCACTTATAAGATAATAGGTGTAAGTATATACATAGTTATGAATACATGAAATGGGTACATATAAGAGAAATAAAAGAAACAATAGGATAGGGACGGTAGGCACGTTGGTGTGCTTATGCACGCCCCCTACAGACCTCTTAGGAAAGGGGTGAGGTCAATAGTAGACAGTCTAAGGTTAAAGTTTTTGGGGTTTGGGGAAGAAACTACAGAGTCAGGTAGAGTATTCCAGACATTGACCAATCTGTTGCTGAAGTCGTATTTCCTGCAATCAAGTTTGGTGCAATTAACCTTGAGTTTGTATCTATTGTTTGCTCTTGTATTGTTATGGTTGAAGCTGAAGTATTCATTGACAGGTAGGACATTGCAATGTATAATTTTATATACCATACTTAGATCAGACCGAAGATGGCGTAATTCAAGGTTTTCTAGGTCTAGAATTTCAAGTCTGGTGGCATAAGGTATTCTACAACGAGTAGAGGAGTGGAGAACTATTCTTGTGAAATATTTCTGGACTTTCTCAACTGTGCTAATATCAGATACGTAATGTGGGTTCCAGACTGATGAGCTGTATTTGAGTATTGGTCTAGCAAATGTTTTATATGCTCTAGTTAGTAGTGTGATATTACCAGAGAAAAAGCTATGTAGGATTAGGTTAACAACTCTTAATGCCTTTTTGGCTATGTAGTTACAGTGGGCTCTTGCACTTAGATCATTAGAGATGAGTATTCCAAGGTCCTTTACAGAGCTTGGATCATCAACAGGGTCTTGAATATTCAGCTTGTATTTTATTTTCTGATTTTTTTTTGCCAATATGTAAGACAGAGCATTTATTTGTTGAGATTTGAAGTTGCCATTTGTTTGACCATTCTGATACATAGTCAAGATCTTTTTGAAGGGTAGCAGTATTGTCTGTGGTATTGAACAGCTTTACATCATCAGCGAAGAGAACACAGTTGCTCTTAATATGATCACAGAGGTCATATTTATGTTGAATAAAACAACAGCAGAAAACAACAGCAGAATTCAGAAGCTGCACTGAAAATTTCAAGATTAGAACACCATGTATTTAGATATTGAACAATGAAGAAAAGTTTTAGTAAATTTTAAACACTGCATTATAAATATTGCATTCTTAGATTAAAAATTAATACCAGCTTGTTCAATGTAAACTTAGATTCCGAAGTAATACACAAAGACCTATACAATACAGATTTTGTCTTTATTAGTAAATTATGAGAAATACACAACAGTGTTAATCTCTGTTAATCTCTTTTTTTAATTTTAACTCCTGGGGAATTTCAGAGAAAGATACAGATTTCTAACAGATTTCAGTCAATGAGTTAGTTCAATTTCAGCTGATGAAAAGCATTATAGCATATAGCTCTTAGGAGATATTTTACATTTTCACAACTCTCAAGAAGGAATTAATCTAAGCTACTGATTTAAGTTCTTCTTACCCAATAACATTAGTTACATATCTCCCACCAAGACACTTTTCCCTACTTTTGACTACTTAAATTATCCAGAGCAAACAGTAATTCAAATATGTACAATAGTCTTTAAACTATGTTTGGTTAGCTTCTGCTGTAGCAGAGAAAGGTCCCTGGTGGTAAAAATTGCCAATAATGCTTGATAGTTCCAGACACTTAATCTTTCTAGTGTGACATTCTGATGTGAATTCAAGAGGCAAATGAAAATAAGACAATAGTTCTAAAGAGAGTGAGAGTAATAATCAGAATGTCTTTTCTTTGTCAATGCTAATAAAATATATTTTAGATGTGCACATTTCTGTGGGAAAGTTCCTTCAAAATTCAAAGAAATAGAGAAAAAAGCACTTGCATTTTTACAGGTTCATAAAAGAAAAGTAAGTCAACTCAACTTTCTAATGTTGACTCCTGTGAAATCAAGTGTTCTTCTCTATTATAGGGGTATGTGTGCGTGCGTGTGCAGTCATGTCAAAATGAAAGTACAACCTCTTTGAGTTCTACAGTTTTACATATCAGGACATAGTAAAAATCACCTGGTCCTTAGCAGTTCTTAAAAGTAGTTAAATATAATCTCAGTTGAACAACAACACGTGACAAATATACTTTCATTTTCACATGAAAGGTTGGTAAACTTTTATTAAGGGCTTTGACCAATATGTAAAATAGCCTGGTCTCTTTACTGCTCTTGACATAACAATGAATCCAGATGACAAGTCTGAATTAGTATCAGAGCCTAATACAGTTTAACTCATCCTGCTGCAAATTGATTTTATAACTTAAAAAAAATAGTTCCACATATCTCTTGTCAGATCTAGTTTAGGGGTGAAACCCGACTGCCCAAGACTAATAATAAAATAAAAAGATTGCAAATGTATCCTCCTATTTATCCTACTCCACTGTCTCATAAGATTCCAGCCCCTTTTATCCTAACTTTGAACTTATTGGGAATGAGCATGGTTTAAAGAGTGGTTAGAACGTATCCCACTATAGTTGGAGAATTCCAGCTTCACAAAGTTCATTGGAAATATTTGGAACATGCTGCCATGAGAATAAAAATCAAACTATGCAACTATGTGGCCTTAAGCATTCTGGAATAAAGATAAACAGAAATATTATTATTCTTCCACTGCAATTCATTCCTCTGTCAGAGTCTTAGTAGAATTATTCTGATATTGCAAAAAGAAATGATGGGAGTTAAACTTTGAAAGATAGGTTCTATGGAAAATAGGGTCTCCGTCTCTAGAATTTTGTTATATACTCTTGAGATTTTTAGCTGCTCCCTTAGAATCTTCTGATTAAGCAATTAAATCTGATATGTCAAGTTAGAGCTTGGGCTACTAGGTCAATCTATCAATTCTTTATTTCAGCATAAAAACAAGCAAAACAAAGCAAAATGGAAACAATCTAGAAACCACACCATACAGAGAGCATCAATTTTGTTCACTTTCTATTTGTGGATATGATATACAGCGAGTTTGGTGAGGTGGTTAGGGCATTAGTTTAGAAAGTGGGAGGCTGTGTGTTTGAGTCCTGCCTGAGGGAGAAAGCCACCTGAGTGATCTTGAGAGAGTGACCAGTCACTATCACAAAGCCCTAGGAAGCAGGCAATGATGACCCACTTCTGAAAAATCTTACCCTAAAAACTGAAGCGACTTATCCAGGCACTCACTAGGAGTCAACACTGATTTGAAGGTACAAATATAGTGTATCTATGTATATAATATATAGACATAATATACTATTGTTAACAAAAGGGACCTAGAAATTTTGCTTAGTTAGTTAGTTTACTTTATTGTCATTGCACCTTGTACAACGAAATCAAACACCATCTTCAGTGCACACCAT